CCCCCCCCCCCCCCCCCCCCTCAGACGAAGTGCTCGCAAAGGCACTGAGTATACATCTTTTGAAAACAGGCGAGGGGTTATTGCATGCATGTGTTTCTAGTATAGTATAATATGCCTCGGCGTGCAACACGATCCACCTCGAATGCGGGTCCAAGCGCAGCAGACGTTGTTTCAACTGTGAACCGCCCAGCTGTAAAACGTCCAGCCAAAAAGGCAACTCGACCAGCAAAGAAGTCAAGGTCAACATCCAGCCAAATACCTGTACAAGTGGTTGAAGCTGCAGCAACAGCACTGACCCCAGATCTACTTGAGCAGCTGGTGACAAAGGTTGCTGATGTTGTGACACAGAGACTATCTGGAAGTTCCATGGGTACCGATCCAACCGCTTCGATCAGCCTACCAGGGTCGTCGAGTCCACATCCGCCAGATGCCAGCATTCTACAGCAGCCAGTAGACCACAACATTTTGCAGGAAGTCCAACCTACAATAGATTCCCTGGTCGAAGTAGCTTTGGGGCAGTCCCAAGAAGCTATCGCAGGTATACGTTATGGTGACACACAATCTATTCCAAAAACTATTTTTCATTCAAGCAGCCTGGAAATAGATTCTAGAGTGAACGATAGAGCAAAAGCCAAAATTTGGAATAATGAATATGTGGAATTTAGTACCCTTATTTCTAGTCAAGGGAACAATAAGTTCCAAGTTTTGAGGGTAATAATGGCCCATCTATTTGTCTCGAGCCAATTAACCGGAGCCAAAATATGTTCAATATTAATCAGTGGCTCCAAGCATTTCGTATATTTGTAGGAGTCTACACTCGTAGATTTCCAAGTGAATCCCCGGTGTTGATGAAGTACTGTGAAATAATCCAAGACTTAGCGTCACGGGGTTTCGACTGGAAATTTTATGATGAGAACTTCCGTATTTAAGACAAAATCCTGCTTCAGCCTTGCCTTGGGGAAGAGTTCACTGGGAGCTATGGTTACGTGCACAACCGTCTTCTCCTATGTTGAGTAAGCGAGCCCAGCCATTTACTGGCCCTGCCAAAGGTAGCGATAATCGACGTGTACCACATGGTTTTTGTTTCAAATTCCATCGTGGGTTAGATTGTGCAGGTTGTGCTTTCAAACACACATGCTTTCATTGCCAACGCGAGCATCGAGCGAGTCAGTGTAATTTTTTTCGTACCCTAGGCAAAGGTTTTGGCAAAAACACACAATTTCACAGACAGGCAGCTTCCCACTCCGGTAAAGTTGATCGTTTAGTAATTTTTCTGGAAGGATATGATCAGTTATTAACTGAATTTTTGGCACATGGTTTTAGTGAAGGTTTTCCTTTACATTATCAAGGCGCTTATAAATCATTTATTGCAAAAAATTTAGTATCTGCTTTGAGCAATCCACAGGCAGTCGATGCAAAAATTTAAAAGGAATTGTCAGCCTGTCGTTTAGCAGGTCCTTTTGATAAACCACCCTTCCAAGATTTTTGGGTATCTCCTTTGGGAGTTGTTCCTAAGAAAGTGCCTGGCGAATTTCGTCTTATTCATCATCGTTCATACCCACATGGGTCATCTGTAAACGATGGTTTGAGCATTCAACTGTTTCTTATTCTACAATAGACGATGCTATAAAGCTTATTAAGCAATTAGGTCCAGGATCTTTTATTGCAAAAACAGACATTAAAAATGCTTTTCGACTATTACCAATTCAGCCGAAAGATTATCCTTTATTAGGAATAATGTGGAATGGGGTTTATTATTATGATCGCTCTATGCCTATGGGTTGCTCGAGTTCTTGTTCAAAAAAAAGAAATTTAGCACGGCTGTTTAGTGGATAGCACAAAACAAGTTGAATATCCATTATATGTTACATTTACTAGATGATTTTTTATTAGCTATTGTGTATTATTAGAAATTGTGTATTATTTCTGTTTTTATGCGATTATTTGGGCATTCCCATGACACGTGAAAAAACTTGTGGACCTTCAACAAAACTGTCTTTTGCTGGAATAGAACTGGACACATTATTATCTGAAGCTCGTTTGCCACCCGAAAAAATCGAGAAATGTATTTCGATTATTTCAGAATTTGTCGGTCGAAAAAAGGTAACATTGAGAGAAATTCAATCACTAAATGGCCTTCTTAACTTTGCATGTTCTGTGGTAAGGCCTGGTCGAGCCTTTTTACGCCGTTTAATCGATTTGACGATCGGCATTAAATCTCAACATCACTTTATTCGCGTTAGTAAAGAAGTCAAAAAAGATCTGAATCTTTGGTTGTCCTTTCTCTCGAATTTCAATGGCAAATCATTTTTATTGATGATATATGGCAGTTGTCTAATAATATAAATCTTTTTACGGACGCCTCCGGGGCTTTAGAGTTTCGTGCTGTATTTGGAAACCATTGGTGCTATGGGAAATGGCCTGATAATTGGGTTAACACCAACATTGCAATATTAGAATTTTATCCAATTGTTTTGAGCTTGCATTTGTGGGGTGCAGATATGAGTAACCGCTCAATTGTATTTTATACTGACAACGAAGCTTTAGTTCATATCATTAACAAACAGTCATGCAAGGACAGAACTTTAATGGTCTTTGTCCGTAGACTTGTTTTTCTTTGTTTACAATTTAATATCATGTTTAAGGCAAAACATGTACCGGGTGTTAGGAATAATTTCGCGGATGCTCTGTCTCGCTTACATGTGCAGAGATTTCAACAACTGGCTCCACCAACTATGGACCATTCACCAACCGTCATACCTGTCCATCTGCAGCCAGAGAATTGGTCCCTACAGTAGCTAGTCTAGTGCTATCTAGCCTTCAACCCTCTTCTCGACCAACCTATCGTAGGGCATGGAAGCTATTTGAGCAATTCCACGGGGTGTTGTTTCAGGGTTTTTCAATATCATTTCCAATGAAACCAGCTGTGTTGGCTTTGTTTGTCGCGCACCTGTACAATAAACGGTACGCTTCATCTACAGTTAACACCTACGTGTCCGCATTAGGTTATTTGCACAAATTATCCGGTTATGCAGATCCTACCAAGGTTTTTTTACATTAAGCAGATGTTAAAAGGTTACCTCAAGTTAGGGTGTCGCCTGGACACCAGGTTGCCGATCACACTGCCTTTACTTCACAGGATAATTGCTATTGCTCATCAATTTTCTATATCACAATATGAGATTACACTTTTTCAAACAATGTACTCTATTGCATTCCATGCATTTTTGCGGGTTGGTGAAATGACAGCTACTCTGAATAAGGGAGTTCAATCAAACTTAGATCTGACCCAGCTGACTAAGATGGTAGATAGTTCGGGCAAAGTTGTGTCTATAAAAATTTTGAATTTCAAACACAATTACAACCAGCGCCCGTTCTCCGTTATTGTTAAGAAGCAATTACATTTTTGTCCTGTATCTATCCTTCTAGCTTATTTAAGCAACAGAGGTTTACAACAAGGTTTTTTGTTTGTTTTGTCAAATGGAATTCCTGTTCCTCGTAACTATTTCGCAAAACAACTGGCATTAGCTCTTAAATTATGCAATTTAAGCCCTAATGTTTATAAGGGTCACAATTTTCGGATAGGGGCTGCTTCTCATGCTGCTGATCGGGGTATGTCGGATGCTCAAATACGTGCTCTCGGTAGGTGGAAGTCCAATGCATTTCTGAAATATATCCGACTTCCTTCCCTTTCTTCTTGAATTTGTTTATTTATAAGGATGAGTGGAAAACTGATTAGCAAGGGCAGCAGTTTCTTACTGGTCCTCTATCACGGAATGCTATGTAAGCATTGTTTATAGCGTTTATTAACTATACAAATTAATATTACTATAATTATGTAGCGAACATTGGTTGGACTGATTAGCAAGGGCAGCAATCTTGCCAATTTTGTTGTCTCCTTATAATAGTATTCAATTAATAGTTTAATATAACATAGCGAACATTTGTTGGACTGATTGGCAAGAGCAGCAGGCCGACGAGTGTTTTAGTTGTTTATTGATATTAATGTTTATGCTTCATTGCAATATTTATCAGACAAGTATGTGTATTTTCCTTTGGGTGGGGCAGCATCATTTGCATGACGCTCTTGGCGTTTTTGTGCCATTCACCTTTACTTGGCAAGACTATATTATATATAATTTAAGTCACATACTTGTTATTGAAAAACTTTATAATTAATAAAGCGGCTTTGGGGGTTTCCCCAAATGCCATTTTACTCCAAATGACTATTGCGTGTTTCAATTTCGTGCCCAGTAAACCGAGCTCAGAAAAGTTCACATCCTTAATTCTGTACACGGGAGAAAAAGAAAATCATAAACTTTGTGTTTGAAACTTTGTGTTGGAAACTTTGCATGGCGAAACTTTGCGCAGACAGAGAGAATTACTGCTAATTTTGATGGCAGATGTGTTGGAATTAAGAGGGATTAAACTACATATCTATATTATATTTGCCCATTATTGAAATAAATTAATAGCGCATGTCTCTAGATCTCATCTGCTTTCACGGTTTGGGGTGTGAACGTGGTGGCGAAAATTGATCATATAGATATAATTTACGATAGGTTAACGAAATCAAGTTTATATATATATTGATAGGCAAACCCTATCGTTTCATATAAAATACAATTCTCGAACGAAGTCGAGATTTGTACCGTAAACTGAATACACGTTTCCCAGACATCCATTCTTCTAGGTTCCGAAGATCTGTTGACACCTTTCAATTTTTTTATAACCGGGCTACATGCAGAAGCCATATAACAATTAAACAAACAGCCAACTTTAATAATAACGTTTTCATTCACACTTTACATGTCAGCATTATAATATGTGTGTCTGTACATGATTCCGGCGTTGTTCATTTCGTTCTAACCTCTGTCAATTGTAATGAAAATGTAAGTAAGTACATAAGCTAGTGCATCTGCATTTAATGAAATTACCTTGCAGCCATGAAGGCTGCATGAATTACGTAATTATCAAAAATACTAGAAAATACATGCATGCGGAAACCCTCTGACAAAACCATTGTATTTCCCAAACATGAATTAGTATTTAATTAAAGATACACTGAAATTATATGCTCTCATTTTTCATTTAATATACGCAACGATCAGCTTTTAAAGCATTAATTAGCTAATATGTTATTAAAAGCAAACGATACATCAATATTTAAAACTTACCTTCGTTTTAACGTCGGCGTCTTTGCTCCCGTCTATAGCAATTCTTTCGCCTTTTTTCTCAAAAAGCTTTTGAAATTTACAAAATCTTACAAAAATGCAATATATTTGCAAGAAATCATCAAATCAAGAAATGTTTGCTAATTCGCTATCGTCATGCAGTCGTTATAATGCAATTTTTAAATTTGACCAATCAGTGTTCGCTATTTGACCAATCAGTGTTCGCTATATATATTTTGAGTTCAGTGAGGGTGACCAGCCATGGTGGATCACCCACACCCGCAATCATTGAGGAACTTTAGACTTCGCTAATGCTTCCCTTCCCCGGGTGTAAATAGTCGGGCGGAACTAGTACCCTCGCACGGTGGTCCGCGCCGTTTGATCGGGGTTGAATAAATACTAAGCTAAAGCAAGCCAGTTATATGTACATAGGCCTACATGATATCATAATTATGAAATTTATAACACTACTTATTTAAGATTGGTTAATACATTTTAAATGATAAGTATTCTAAAAGTTCAAGGAAGGTTGTTAACTATTGTTAACCTTTTTACGAATTGCATATGTATATAAACGACTTTCCACCCTATATTTTTATGAGTCATTGGAATAATGACGTTCTCTCATGTCTTAAATTGTGTCTAAATTCATTCCTAACTGGTAACAAATTACGAGTTATATTGTTTGAGTCAGCTTGTCACAAAGATGTTCGTGATGATCTTTCTAAGATGGAACTACACCATGTAAATTTAGTGTATCAGAATAATTTTTCAGGCATATATAATAATGGCCATGCATACGGCTCTTTTCTCCAACCGTTTCCAATCATATTGCAAGTATTGATGCAGTGCATAATAAAATATTGCGATTGCATAGTCCATGACAGATCTAACACATGATGTAACGTCACCAAGCTAGTCTCTATACATGGGTACTAATTGCGCTGGGCTATTTACACCCGGGAAATAGAAACCATTGTTAGCGAAGTGTCAAATTTATCAAACATCGCGGGTGTCTGGCTCTGGAGTCTGGATGGACCCCCCACTGATCTAAAAAAGGCGAATTGTCGTGGTATAATGACGAACACTGATTGGTCAAATTTAAATTTCGCTTGATGATGACTCACTACGACATCATAATAACGGACAGTATTTGAAAATATATGTGGCAGATATATGCTTTAAGGTGGCTCCCTAGTGTTTTATTTCCGGGGGTTACGTTCTTCGTATATATGTAAACTAAAACTAGTGTGACTTCAAAATACGAACGAACGATGTGTTTTATATGGAACTCTTTTTTGAAACAAAAGTGTGAACTTTGCTTTAGTTGAAAGCATAAAAAGATTTCTGAAAGCCAAAACGATACTTGTATGTGATCAGTTCAAAAGAAGATAATGTAAACTTGTTTTTTTTTCAAGCGGTATTCTGACGTTTTTTGAACCGCCGTACGCGAGGTTCGATCGCGAACATTGGGATATGATATAAAGTTTCCTCAAGAATTTGCAGTGCTTTCTCCACAATCTAGCAGCACTTATGACAATAAAGATGACTTAAATAATGAGCCCTCTACGGATGAAATGAGCAGGGTCGAAACTCCAAACATACCACTATAAAAACTGAAATTTGAACGGGCATTTTGCGAAAACATCCGACGATACGAATTGACAAACATTTTTCAAATTAATGCCAAGAAGTCATAACCAGTAATTACCTAAATCTCTTTGCCAATTTTACATGTATAATCCACGCTTAGTTGACCATTAACCGACACAGTTATAAACAGTATATCAGACATAATATATATTTTGTGATTTCAAAAAAATCATGCCTTGTTGTTTCAGTATGCAGAATGCATGTACACGTCAGTTGGGGTATTAAATTGTTCGCGTAAAAATCTGGTAAAAATTGCCAAAATTAAACCCAAATTTCTCTGTTTTCCTTCCATAAAATTTTTTAAAACTTTGCACATTTTTTAATATCGGAACAACAAGTGCAATATCCTTTTTTCATAAAATTAAATCGAAGGGAAAATTTTTAATATTGATTTTTGACGTTTTTTAAATTTTCTAAGAAACGTATCGATTTAATTTTTTAAATTGAGGGGAAAAAATCATTATACAGGTATTATCTTTTATGCAAAGTTTTAAAAAATTTCACCGAAGGGAATTTTTAAAATGACCTGAAAAAGACAAATTTTGAGCTTTATTCTAAGCATGCTGTTGCCATGACAACATATTTTTAACACAAAAGTAGCAATTTGCAATGTTCAGGAGAACATTGTCAAGGTGTCCAATAAATTTTGTTTTCATGTCATGTAAAGTAAAGAAACAGGAGTCTCCTGCAGAATACTATAGTGTAGTAAATTAAAAAACCCTAGGGAGCCACCTTAATGAGGAAAAACAGCATATAATTTCAGCGTATTTTTGTTCAATATCCATTTTTAATTATTATAGTAAAACGTTAAATAAGGAGGAAAGAAAAGTTATTTTCATGCGACGATGCGAGAATTTGAAATAATTTTATTTCAAACTCACGAAATTCTATCGTTATAAAAAGGTAGTTTTTTAGTTTTAATGGACCAGTCATTAATAATGGGTGGTGGTCATTAATGAGGGTGGGCTGTGTTTGTGTATAGCGGGGCGGCTTCAACTATTTTTGCCTGAATTGGGACGGCCTCAAACTGAAAAATTTGCGACATGGGGAAACCCCAATTTTTTAATACTTTCCTACTCATTTTCAATCTCTTGCTTTTATCGTATCCCACCAAATATTTCATCTTTTCTATATCCAATAATCATAGTTTCCATAGTTTATTAAATATATGCAATTCACCAAAGGAGTCGGAATAAATAACAACCATTTTGAATAATGGTCCTCTAATTATTTAGGCTACAGAGTGTCTTTACACTAGTTCTTGTCCGATTACCTATACCTGTATTTTACACCAAACAATCAGGGGCGGACATATCGATTTTGACTGGGAGGGTGTAGTCACGAAATGAGACCGACCCACCACTGAAATGTGAATCCAGACCGACTCTTGGTGAGTTGGTGTGTTACAATAAAATTGAGTACAAAGCATGGAAATTGATGGCATTTATTAGGAATTTTGCAAGAACACGTACAGTTTGCTATGAAACGTTATATTTTTATTAAGTGTCCGCGCTTAGTAAGGTTTGACCACAGATTAGCGATTTCGTCTGAAGATCGATCGTGTCTGTTAGATCGCGCTCACACGCAAGAGTCAAGAGTTCACCAAGGCGTTCCTGGTTCATTACTGAACACACAACAGTTTTCACTGATTTCAGCTTTGAAAAGCTGCGCTCGGCTGATGCGGAACTGTCAGGCGCGTAACTATAGGATTTTTGATTGACCGAGACACTTCTGGGCAGGGGGATCTGGGGGCATGCTCCCCCAGAATTTTTTGATTTTCTAAGGCTTAGAAACGCTATTTCCTGCATTCTGGGAGCAGTTCAAACGAAAAATCAATTTCATATTACAGTGACACAATGACTATAATTTTATACTGTAGTTTGCCCCCAATCTTGAGGATAAGAATTACAAATATTTTTGGTCGAACATCATTGATCAGGTGCATAATAAAAAAGCGTTTGTGCTCAATTGTTGTATTATTTGGGCGCTGGCCCGCACTTTTGTTATTGTGGTACTTGTGCACCCACACGGCCTCCCATTTCTTACGTCACTGTAGGGCAAGAATAATGCTTCTCAATTTACATCGAGAGAACTACAGTCTGTCATTGAACTTGAACTCGATTGACTCATATACCTAGTTATGGGCCTGACTGTAAGCAACAATTGGAAACATTGCTTAGTCAGTGGAAATAATTTTTCGCTCCGTTATTTCAGATAAACCAGTGCGTCGTTCACTGATCGAATTTCTTGATTGCAGTAGGCACAAAAAACTCTTTGGTAACAAAATTCATATGCATATTGTGTTACATGTGAACATACTTCCTAATATAACTCGGCTAGAAATTCGTTTTTGCACTTTGCATCTTAAAAATATAGTTTCGGGACCGGAGAAATATTGTAACTAATGTTAGCTATTTTGATCGAGATTCATCGCGTTTTGGAGTCTGATTTTGGTGGTTTGAAATTTTGGCTAATATAGAATATCACCCGTGAATGACGTTGCAGAACCTAAATTCCGAATAAAAGTGCCAACACGTAATCGTAAAGTAGATATCTCCATGTTTGGAAAGTAAATGGAAACTTCATCCCTTTGCGCGTGTTTTGACTGATAATTCGTTCATAAACTCGCGAAATAAGTACGTAATATTTCTTCATATTATTTCTGAGCTGTTTGATCCGTTTGAGCAAATTTCCAACTCAATACTCAATAGTTTGAGTCTATCTCGAGTTTCGAAAATATTTCATTTGCTTCGCAAAACACTGCGTGTAAACAAACGCATAATTTTGAGACCGACTGCACGAAGTTTGAAACCGACTGGATCATTTCTCTGGGGGGGTGAACCACCCCCCCACATTTACACACACATTTACGCCCCTGTATATAAGTTTCATGACTACACAGCAATCTAAGAATCGAACCCACGATGCCATTTTCAGAGGTGAATGACGCTTGCTCAGGCGATGCTCCACCATGTGTGGCCGATGTTCTCTGAAATCTACATATGTAGTTTTCGACTTGACTTGCATATGAAATTTTTATTTTGGATTTTGTAGCGCGTCAGGAAGAGAAGATATTTTCTAGGCCTGTTATACAGGCCCGTATAACTAGGATTTTAGGTTTACTGAATCAACTGTTAAACAGTGACACAATGAATAAAAAAAGTAGTCTATCTCACAATTATAATTTAATTTATTACACTTTGCCTCAACATGCAGGCTTGGAAACCGCAACAGCTAGGGCTATTTACTGCGGATCCATTATAATACATCAAGTTTAATATCGACTAACAATAAATAATGATTTACAATTACTAACAAAACATACAAACATATACAGACATTAACAACATTAAAGCTACGTTAACACACAGCGATCCATCGCGTACGATTCACCCTCTAGACAATGTTACTCCAATCTTAACAATTACAAATATTTTCCGCGATACAACATGATCAGGTGCATAATACAAAAGTGTTTGTGGTAAAACGTGCATGTGCGATATCCCACACGTCGATATGTTATTGGAGCATTTGTGCACTCACAACAGCTTCCCACTTCTTACGGCAGAGCTGGATGGCCAAGTGGATATCTCTTCGCTTTCTTTGAACGTGAAGTCTTCCTGTTTCATTTTTCACGAAAATCCTTTCCGAGTCAACTGACTCGGTTACTCATCGCTAGTTGCAAGCTAGTTACATTCCAGTGTACGATGTTTGTAAATAATCTAATGGATATTAAAAATGTATTCTGCATGCTAACTCGAGTCGTATACGACCTGATAGCCGATGTAGACAGCTACTGCATTTATGTAGGCTGTCAGCTTTGGCAATATTTTGACAATTCACCGACTACTTTGCCTATTTAATAATTAGCTGAATCAATTGAACGCTCGAAAACCGTGACAGAGCTAGCTAATATCTGGCTTAATTACACGCTCTGTCGATAATAAGATTTTAACCAATAAAGTAAATCAGGTCAATGGAGTACTTATTATAAGCAGTCTTGCCAACACAAGCAACAATGGAAATTCATTTACCATAATAATATATTACATTTGATCATCTCAATGAAAGTAAAATCCATTTTAATAAAGTGGGAACAAGCATGATGGCATGCAACTTCAGTAAATATATTTATAATAGAAGGACTAGCATAATGGGATTAATGCATGCCTTGTGGGAGTCTTCATTTATACGAATTAATGCTGATGAGCAGACAAGTGTAAATAGTGATTTGCTATTTAGTATTGAAGAAACCAATCATTTTAAGATAGATAGATAGATAGATAGATAGATTTTATTTTGACACGCTAACTACGTCAATTAAAAATATTGATTTCCGCGAAGGGCGTGTGTTCAATAGTTATTATATATAAGTGTTGATATGACTCTTATGGAATCAAATAAAAGAAAATAGAAATAATCTAACTGTCCCAATTGATAAAATTGACAATATAGACAACTAACAAAACATATAGATAACTATTTACAATAAAAGATTTATATATGTATGTATAAATATATTAATTAGTAACATGAGCAGCAATTTTTCTTTCAAATAGAGACTGGGACCTAATTCCTCTGATTTCGTTAGGCACTGCGTTCCATATTTTTGCCCCATTAAACATAAAACTCTTTTTCATGCTATTTGTGCGGGGCTGTGGCAATACGAGTGTTGTTTCATTGTCACGGAGACAGTAATGTGTATTCTCATTCTTGTAGGTAAAAAGGTCTGTTAGGCTTTTAGGCCCAGACATATTCAAAATTTTGAACATTAATTTTGCCTTAGCTTTAGTTCTTTGTACTTTAAGTGTCTCCCATCCTAACGAATTTAATGCAATTTGAGCATTAACTTCATTGCCCATGTCCATAATAATTCGAGCGCATCTATTTTGAAGCTTTTGTAATCGTTGTGATTGAGTTTCACCAAAATGTCCCACACTTCACAACAATAAGTAAAGTATGGTTGTACAATTGCATTAAATATAGAAACAAGTGTATCACGCTCAACAAATTCTTTTAGTTTTCTTATAACAGAAAGGCTCATGTGATTTTCTTACAGATACTCTCAGTGTTACTTTTCCAAGAGAGATGCTGATCAACTATTACTCCTATAGTGTCTTGCATTCCTTCACTTGTTTAATTGCTCTGTTTTCAATCATTATGTTTAACTGAATTTGAATCTGAAACAGTATGCACTAGAGATCTTGATCCAATTAGCATAAATTCAGTTTTGGCAATGTTTAGGCTCAGTTTGTTCGCGCTTAACCACATTCTCAGGTTTTCCAAATCAGAGTTCGCTGCATTTTCAACATCATTAATTGTACCACCGGAAGCAGTGAGGTTTGTGTCTTCTGCAAAAAGTCTTGGCTTTGTCCTATTTAGGCATTCAGATAAATCATTTATGTATATTAGGAAAAATAAAGGACCTAAAATGGAGCTTTGAGGAACACCACACTTAACTTTGTGTTCAGACGAGACAACACCATTTACTTGGCATTTTTGGGTGCGATTAGTAAGATATGATCTCAACAACAAATGTGCCTTATCCTTAATACCGTAAATTTGCATTTTCTCAAGTAGAATTTCGTGAAGTATTTGCATTTTCTCAAGTAGAATTTAAAAACTACTAAGTTAAACATTTTTCGATCCATGTTAACGTGCCAAATATTTGTTGAATCTAAAAGAGACGTAGCGGTAGAGTGAAACTTTCGAAAGCCAAATTGGTTATCAGAGAGAATTTCGTTTTTAGTTAAATAATCATACAGCTTGTCATACAGTAATCTTTCCATGATTTTGCTTATGACTGGTAGTATCGATATTGGCCTGTAATTACCAGGAATATTACGATGACCACTTTTATGAAGAGGTAAAACTCTAGCTACTTTCCATTCATCTGGAAAGCTGCAAAGAGTAATACTTTGATTAAAAATATATGTAAGTGTAGCAGAAATAACTGGTGATGCTAATTTAAGAATTTTACTGGAAATTTTGTCAACACCACATGCTTTGTTACAAGACAGCCCTCTTAAGGTGGCTCGATATAGTTATCACGAAAACCCTGCTCAAGAATCGCGAACTCAAAACCGGGTGACCATTTTTACGCGCAGGTCGCGGAAACTAATTAACAAAATGACAGAACTTCCAAAATGACCTGACGTAAGCAGCTGCTCGCGCCATCTCACGTCATTTCGCGTGTTCTATATAGCGTTTTATGTCAATTGCTGACGTCATTAGAATTTTCCATTTTAGAAAAACAATGCGCTATATCTCTTTATTTTGTCTGGTGACCTATGTTCAAATTTTGCATGCTGTATTGCACCGCTAAAAACTTTCATTATACAAAAAATAAAAAAATTCTGTAATGCCAAAAAAATTTTACCGAAGAATATGACATTTTCGCATTTTCCAAAAAAATGGCATTACAGAATTTTTTTATATTTTGCTAATTGTTAGCTTTTCGTCCAAGTAACAATAATGCAAGAAAAAAAATTGGGGGTCACCATGCTTCTTTTCCAACTATACGAGACGAAAGGCCATTTTGGAGTGTATTTTGTACACGTATGTCGTCATAGCAACGAACTATCTGTTACTAAAACTAATATAATTTGAAAGTAGAGATATCGAAATATATAAAAAACCCAATATCTGCCGAATATATTCTAAAAATGCATAGTTTGAACATTTCAAAGTGTTGAACACCTGAATTTTTGAAAACTGTATCGAGCCACCTTAAAATATCAAAAATTTTGTTTACCGCAATTGGTGTAAATGCAGTGAACTCGGATTCAGAACTTTTAGTATACTTTTGAAAGTCACAGCTAGATTCATCCAACTTGCTTGCCAAGTTTGGTCCAACATTTGCAAAGAATTCATTTAACCCTTCTGCAATCTCTGTAGGATTTGTTAATTTAGATTCATTAATAATTAGTTCATTTATAATCGTGGGTTTCTTACCCTTTCCGATCAAACTATTAATAGTTTTCCAAGCCTGCTTTGGATTGCACTTTTGGTTAGCAATCTGTTTAGAATAATAGTCTGTTTTGGCTTTCCTTAATTCGATATTTGTTTGATTTCTGGCTTTTGTATAAATGAGCCAATCAGATTCTTGTAATTAGTAATAATTGCTTTTCTTTTCAATTTATCTCTTTCGGTTATGAGCATTTTAATTTTGCTTGTAAACCAAGGGACACTTTTTGATTTTATCTTTTTGTTTTGAAGTGGTGCATGCTTATCCAGGACCTCTAAAAAGACTTTTTTCCACATCTCCCACATAGAAAATGTTGTCACACAAATTATATCAAGCACAGTGATTACTCGCAGCGCGCGACTAGTGAGCTGTGAATGGAACTGAGAAGAAGCAATATATATTGTAGTAGCAAAGACCAGGGGTTAAAGGGCAATCAGAGGTATATAGATATTAAACATGTGCGTCTCATTGACATACAGGTAAATTAAGATCAGGTTTCATATCAAGTCTGTTTACTGCTAAGCGCATTTATCACATTATACAGACTATATACACAGATTTACCATACTAAGAAACCAAAACTTTATAAAAATATAGAACTGCCAGTGGCCAAAGCCCAAAAGCGTAACATTAGACTTGAAAAAGCTTTAGAAATTCGATAAAAATTCGAAGACTCGAGCGAGTTTAAAATTTGTGTTCTGCGCATAGAAAGCGCGCACGACCACAATTCCATGCGCTAAATAAAATTTAGTTCAAAACCCCCTCTCTGCACATATTAGAATGCTGCTACGCTCGCTCGCTTCAGGCTCGCTCGCTCCGCAGCAACAACACTATACAATGTTATACAAGACTATACAACACTATATCAGGCTATATGCATGACACTATAAAACGACACTATGCAACATTATACAACAGTATACAAGGACTATACAACACTATTTAAGGCTATATGGCACCATACGACACTATACTGACAACGTTATAAAAGACTATACAACAATATATAAGGCTATACGACACTGTACGACACTATACGCCATTTCGATGTTTTCCTTCGTTGTTGAGTTAATTCTACACAGCGAGTTTCACTGTTGGCATTATTAGAGGGGGGTAATGGGGGAAGGGGGGGTACCGATCCTGAAGCACGAAAAATAATATGCAGCGATCTTGAAGCATGAAAAATAAAAGGAAGTCCTGAAGCACGTTAAATAAATTTATTACGAATCTAAAATGTAAAGTGAACATGAAATGTAAGCAACAATCATACTTAGAAGTCTTAAAGGTGAATATAAACAGTCTGTACTAGGCGGTGTGTTCACCTATTTGTTTACAATTGCGTCAATGTTCATGATTTATATAAACTTTGAAACCTCCGTTCCCCAATCAAAACATAGCTAAAATCCAGAAACAAAATTAATGGAATATATTGTCCAGAAACGAGAAATAACGGTCTTTAAATACAGCTGAAAACGGAGAACGGATATTGAATACACCGCAAGCACGATACACGGCATCCATGTCGGGATCGAAAAACGTTTAATAAAAAGATGACTGAACGAAGAACGAATAATTAAATTAGCCCAATACGCAGCACGAAAATACCCCATTACCCCCCCTCTTATTAGGCCGCGGGTGCTGCTTTCATTGTGAGGTGTTTTTTACTATTTTTAATTTGATTAAGATATTGTGGGTGTTAAATCGTGTTTATGGATTTTATGTTAATCAATGGAGAAAATAAACGTATTTCCAGTAACGTATTCCACAGATGATGCGTGAATCGTATGGATATTATCCCACATATTACCATGTCATGAGGATCTGCACGGCCTAAAATATGCAACTTTTGCGGGTAAATTGTAAAACATGGAATCTGGAATCTTGGATTCTGGAATCTTATTATACTTATGTAACATATTGTTCTGCATGCGATAATAATAATTTAATAGTTGCCTTCTCACCAACTAATAGTTGGTGAGAATAAATTCAGTTAGCAGAAGCAAACCTTAGTAATATATACTGTACATTGCATAATTTAATATCTCCATCTTGATGCCAATACATAATAATGTAAACGCTGTGCGCGCATCTAGAGGGGCCTGTACCGGTTTTGCGGGATGCGTCTAAAATTGAAGTGGGATTCGGGATTTTAAGAGAAATATTGGCGGGAAGCGGGATTTTATTGCATCGCGGGAAGTGGGATTAACTGAAAATACCATAGCGATATGCGGGAAGTAACCCACGATTAACAACAAAACTTGTAGCTGTACGTTAGCTGATCTGTTGTCATTTGTTTGTGTGCTCGAAATGTACAGGATAATATCGAACATTTCTCCCCCATCAATCCCCCATTTACATGTATGATTGCTGCTTTCATTAGAATCGCGATTCAGAGTAATTTATTATTTTAAACTTTGTTGTATTGTATTCTAATGTATTCAAATTGTGCTTTATGTCGTACCATGTTCTTTAAATCATAATACGGCGATGAACAGTGTTAGAAACAAACTCGGTAGCGGGAAATTGGGATGAGGCATGGCGGGATAACGGGATTTGAAGTGAAAATCCCAGTCCCAGTTGGATTTTTATTAGAAATCACAGTCCCAGTTATTGAAATCCCAGTCAATAAAAAAACCCTTTATTTATCGGTAGAATAAACAGTTTTAAGATCTTTTAAGAAAGTGGCGGACACTTTATGAAATATTAGGGGGGAAATTTGTAAATTTGAATCCCGGAAATGGGATTTGTAGCATTCTGAGACACGCATAATCAGAAAACCCAGAATTCCGGGCGCCAGAGTGTAGGTAGTGCTGTGAATAATATAGTTAACAACAAAAATCATGACCAAAGACACCAAAAACGGATCAAAATTGTATTTTAAAATACTCGAAACGCAGAAAAATTGGGAATCGACTCGCATTACCTCAATCCCATTCCCATTTTTGAGGGCTTCATTTCCCATTCCCAGTGGCCAAATCCCAGTCCCAGCAACCCAAATCCCATTTTCCCAGTCTAAAAATAGATCAATCCCAGTTCCCATTTTACCCCATTCAGGGCCCTCTTTTATTTTTAATATTTTTTTTCGTACTTTTTCCTTTTATGCGCAAAATTAAAAATTAGGAAAATTTAACGCAACAAATCTCCAGTAATAAAATAATGTGTACGTTATCTGTAGTATAACAAGTAAATGTTTCCATTTCGTATAGTCTAATAGTAATAAGTCTATCGATGTATCAGTTTGATGATAAAATGTCTTGAGTTATAGGATATAGGTTTATTAGCTTTCGAAGTGTTATGGTCCTATCACGAACGTCGCGAATAACTATGTCGATTGCACATCATGTCTGATACAAAGCTATAAATTGTACGCTGTAATTAATAAGTGGCTAACGCTCGAGCCACAAATTTTGCCATTTGTTATACAGCTCAAAGCGTTCGGGCGACAAATTTCCCGTTTGTAATCTAAAATGACTGAAAATTGCAAACTTCGCAAGGCTATATTCGCATTTTACAACATTTCGCAACCAAATTTTGGAATATTACTAATTTTGTGATGCTCTTTCAAGCTGTGATGAAATTTTTGTCCAGATCAAAATTTAGTCTATTACACAAGTGGTCAATTAGAACACAATATAATACATCTTACATTTAGGCGATTTTGCAAGACTAGCTTAATAATAATTCACGAATTTATTCAAATATCAACTTTAAATTTACAGTAATTCATGAATACATGTCAATATAATAAAACAAGTTCACTTTGCCTTCAGAGCTTCGAGGATACCTATTTACCGAGCCAAGGATTCGAGGTCGGAATCGAGCTTGGAATCGAGCTCGCAATTCGAGCTCGGATTCTATAGTAAGGTTAAGCTTGTTAAGAAAGATTTTATGCGGAATTCTTTGTTTGGCGTTAGTATATGAAGAGCAATATGGCGAAGCACAAGTTGCTTACAATCGCTATCTAAGCAATTAAAAAGAATGGAAGCACTGCACAGAAATGTTCGTTTGCCACAGTCAGTACGCGGGAAGGGAGGTTGAAGGCCATATGCGCAAGCTCTAGTCAGAGCCCGTTGTCGAATCAAGAAGATAAGAATTTAAACATTTGCTTAAGTGATCACGGAGCACTGGGATAAGGTCGAAGATTGGGATTATTCGAGTCTGGGAAAAAAGAAGAACAGAAGGAGTAGAAAAGTCAGCGACTAGAATAATACGTGCTGCACGCTTTTGCTGTCGAAGAATGCGAAGTAAAAGTGTTTTTGAGCAGTTTCCCCAAGTTACAGAGCATGTCAAAACATTGCATTTTAAAGCAAATTGTATGGATTTTTTTTAAATAAAAGACCTTTTCGGGAGACCTATACTCTGCCTTGAATTACCCAGAGGGAGGGACCGTAGACTCGTATTTTCCGAAAAGCTAACGAACAATGCCGAGCCGCCAGCGAGAATCGTGAAATGAGTATACGGTTCATTTGGTGTTCATGTTACATGAAGTACGAATAAAAAATCAAACAATGTTTATAAACTTTATATGGCCGTTTCACATGGTTTCACGACAATTTCAACAGACTATAAATTGTAAAATATGCATTTTAATGGAGATTTTACAATGAAATATGTTACAATTCGACAAGGTAAGACGGCGTCTGTATTGTTTTACTAGAGTTTAGTGAATCCTCTGCTCCCTGTGCGCGTGACTTTTAAATTAATACTTGCGCGTGACTTTTAAATTAATACTTCTTTTCGAATTTGGATTGTTAATATATTCAGCAAGATTTATGAGATTCGATTGGGACTATTCTACAATGAAGTACTATTGGATACTGTAATGTCTAAATACACAGCAAGACGAATAAGTGGCATTTATCGGGCAGAGAAGCGGTGAGCCAATATTGCAATTTATAATGGCGCCATATTTCAGTATTTCACGAAATATCGAAGGACACAGTAACGAAGATAATTACACTGCACTGTTTCAAAACCTGATGAAACCTTCTTTGAAATCTTCTTCAACCATGTTATGTAAAAGTGCAACAACTGGATGCTATTTGCCAGATTTCAGTTGGTGATAAAAAGCAAACAAGATGGCAAAATATGGTATTATACTTAAAGAAAACAATGACAATCCTTTATATGACAATCCTCATGATATTTGTTTTTAAGAAATAGGGATATTTCACTTCTGCCAGGCACATTAGTTATTTATGCATAATTAGCAATTTACCTGGGGGTGGTGCATGGTCATTTTCTTGTAAAATATTATACTTAGACAAATTTTTCCTTCCACTGACCACCCTAGCCTGAAATGTCAGGTTCAAGCGGGGAGAACGCCTGACATTTCAGGCAACTGACCATCCATAAAAGCAACCCATCTGAACACTATAACACTTCAGAACGGCTATCGCTTTTCCTTTTTGGAAGTTACAGCTATGTCGACACTGCTGTTTCAGGGCGGGATCATTTTCAGGAATTTTGTCCCGGATTCAGGTTTTGGCACATATGCCATGTTGACTGCCATGGTCATTTTAC